TATATATATACACACACACACACACACACACACACACACACACACACCTGCTGCTCTATCTTCCCTTCATCCTTGGGCAGGTGAGCAGCAAGGAACCAGTCTCCAGGTTTGGGATAGGTCACATTGAACAGTGTCACATTGCTGCTCTGTCCACTGGGAATGGTCAGCGTCAAATTGTGAGCAAGAGACACAGATGTGGAGTTTGGAAAGGCTGTTTCTATGGGGTTGATGACCGGGGGCGCTCCTGCCCTAAAGTGCCTGTTGATGTGCATTAGATTGACAAAAGTCAATGTTAAGCGACATAATTAGAAAACATATCACTACTTTGTTATTTAGTTACTTTTGACTACTTTTATAACCAACTATTATAGTATACAGTACTTCTTTCAGGAAGAGTCTCTGGGGCAACTTAGGGTTAAAGACCCCATGAAATGGTTCGATAAACAATTTTCCTTAATTTGTTGGTGCATTTTAGCTGCTAAAAGTTTATTTTGTCATCTTTTAGGAGTATATTAGTATATAAATTAAATTATTTGACATCTGTATGTGCTCTTTAATAGTTTGCATGTTTCCAAGCATTTTTAAGCAGGTCTCCTGGTATTGATGCCGTACACAATAATCTTGGGCTTCTCAGTTTAAGAGTTCTCATGAGAATTTGTCTTCTGTATACAGTCTCCAAGAAGTGATCTCTAAGAAAGAGCTCCATGGAGATAATTCTTAGACGCATCAACACATACTGAAATGTAATAATTTTCATTACAAGACTTAAACCTGTAAAAATGAAAACATTAACGTCACAATGAAACGGAAGTACAAACAGATGTTTTCTTCCGTATTGTGACATAAATCGTGGAAAAAAAGGGGGGAAAAAGTAGGGTGAGGACTTGGTTCTATGTATCTGTGTCTGATTGGATTTTGAGATGTGGACGTTGCACACAAAAGTGGACACAGATGTAAGCAAGTCCTGCATACATCACAGGTCTAAACCCAAAGACCAGTTGTAATATTTTGATTGAATATTACAAGGTTCAAAACATTAAGAAAAAAGAGCGAGAGAAAGAAACATGCATTCTTCACAATAAGATCTATAACATGCATTTAGAAAATAGAAAAGATACATTTTCATTTCATGTTAACTTGAAATATTTATAAACCATTAGAAACATTAAAACCCACGCTTGATATTGGACATGTTTTCAAATGGGTTACCACAGTATCATAATTTCTGCCAAAATACCATAGCAACTACAGCTATTATTACAACTATAAAACCCTGTAAATCTCCTTCAAAGAGGTTTTCGGGATTTTATCACATTTCATTTCATCACAGTGTTGCATAATAGCAAGTTCTCCATTAAATTTACCCAAACTTTTACCTAGAAGCATGATTTTTGGAAGGAAACATTTTTATCACGGTAAAGCTTTCAAAATATTATTTCAATACTGAAAGCACTTCAAATTCATGGATTATTCAAACACGCCTGTTTACTGTCATAATTTCACCATACATACACAGTGATGTTTTGGTTGCCACAGTTCAGTACGGATCCCCGTGAGACGGTGAGCAGCCACCGCACGAGCACCGCATCTTCCGGTACTCTGAAGTGATGGAGCCGAACATTACCGAACCAGCTGTATTTGGACAGCCTCTGAGGCGTTTTAGAGTAGAACCCGTTCAAGTAAGTGAGATCTGGGGGGCAGAGCATGACGTCATGATAGCGTCAGATGTAAACAATCACAATAAGCGAGATCCTTTTATTCGTTTTCAACATGTTTATGTAAAGACTTATTTATGCATAAACATGCTACAAAACAGATTTGCGTCCGATTACCTAAACGACTAAAAATATTTACGAAAATCCATGCCTATTTTTGTGACATTTGGGTAAGAGCGAAAAACGGATAAAACGGCTGTTAAATACCGCAAATATATCTATGATATCTAAAGCGCTCCCAAAAACTCACCGTCAGCAAAACAGCCAGCGATAACATACAGTAGAAGGCACGGTGCAAAATACTTTTCCATAATGCAGTCTAGATTCTCCTCAGTCAGCCCATTGTAGTGTTCTTCAAATGTCTAAGGACTGTTGTAACTCGTTACTTCCTGGTTCAACACAGAAATACTGGACGTCGGTTTCATACGTAGGCTATGCATAACTTCCTCTTCGCAGCTCATAAATATTACTTAAGGTTCGTGTCGTTCTTCCAAAAGGCCAATCGGGTGGTAGTTCCTGTTAATTAATATTCATTAATTCCTAAGGTCCATCGTAATATTCATAAGATAAGTCTGTGCTGCAGAAGGATTCAGTAGCCCCTCACTGCAGAACACAAGATCCAGGGGGCGTGGTTGGATCCACATCTAGGGGGTGGAGATTAGTAGGTTTAGGGGTGGAGATGGGTGGGTTTAGGGATCAGGGGGTGGAGATTGATAGGTTTAGGTATATGTAGGGTGGGAGGAGTTGGATCTGGATCCAACAACGCCCCCTGGATCTTGTGTTCTGCAGTGAGGACCATCTCCCTGCGGGACGCTTCAGAATGGTTGCCAAGCAACGTCATCAGGACCTGATTAATATTCATGAGCCAGGCCTTCGCCATAGTGGGATTCAATTCACACACACACAAAAAAGATTTCAATTGCATTTATTTACTATTTTATTTATTTACTTTTTGATCATTCAAAAGTATTTGGAATAAAACAAAGCAATAAAACAAATAAAAAATATTGATAAATGAGTCAAGATATTTAAGATTTCAGCCATATACTGCAGCAACTGCTGGTTGTTGTTGTTGTTATTATTATTATTATTACTATATATACGACTATCATCCACCAGATTTATGGTTACAGTGAGAATTCATGAAAACAGCAACAGTGCTATCTGGTCAAGACCTCATACTGTTATGTTGAAAGGCCAAAAAAAACATGATAAAATTGCCATTGTATATATAACATTTCTAAAATGCAATGTATGTATGTACAGTATGTATTATGCCTTTTTATACAATAAAACCTCATACACAAACTCTCTCTCTCTCTCTTTCTCTCTCTCTCTCTCTCTCTCTCTATATATATATATATTCCCTTTTTATAAATCAATAAAAAACCCTCATACACAAACTCTTCATAAATTCCATCTTCTTGTATTTATTTTGGAATAATTGGCAGATCATACTAAATTCCCCTTCTGGCAAACTTTCTTTGCATTAAGATTATGATTAACAACCCTTTAGGACTATATAACTAACATTTTAAGTGACAAAGAACATGTCTCAGTAGTTGTCTTGTGCACTTGTGCAATGTGAAATGTTTGATTATTGTTTTTGTGTATACATTCAGAGTTCTAAATTAACACAGTGTGTGTGTGTATATATATATATATATATATATATATATTTATATATATATTAGAATTTTGATGGTACACAGATGTCACGGTTCGGTACATACCTCGGTTCGGGGTTCACGGTTCGATACAAGGAATAAATTCTTGAAATATATTTGATTTTGTTTACAGATAAACAAGAGTGTGTGTGTATATATATATATATATATATATATATATATATATATATATTAGAATTTTGCATTATTAAACCATAATGTAGAATTAATGTAGAACTTTATTTTTTGTAAAATAACAGAAGGACAGTTCTAAATCTTGTAATCATGTGTAATGTCCACCTGTGGCTGACGGATGGTTAAGCCATTACATGCTGTCTGACCAACCTGAAGCTGCAGTTAAGTGTTCTTGTTCTCTGACATATGTTAGTCCAGATGCTGTGCTCTCCACTGCTGGTCATTAGCTTTTCTATTGCCCTGCGTCCAGCTCATATTCACTCATGCTGAGCACACACACACACACACACACACACACACTCTCTCTCTCTTGCTCTTCTTAGTCTTTAATCAATGTTACACACACATACATGTTAAGCTGCTTCTACTACAGTATATTCCTCCTGCCACCTCATAGACTGTTTATCTGGAAAGCATTTTGAATGTGGCATATTTATTTTTAGAAAGTCTGACATTTTACACTCAATTTATAAATGCACTTTTATATACATATTTATATCACACAATGTGTAAAAAAAACAACAAAAAAAAACCTTGAATTCTTTTTTTCTGACATTAAAATTGTTTTAATATTTTATACTTTATAATTTGCGACTAGTAACTACATTTAATTTTTATTTTATTGTAGTTTAAAAAGTTTTGTTTGCTATAATCCCCATTTAAGACCAGGGTTAGTTGTCACTTTTGAGTCCAGTGAAAAGTGTAGGTTTATTTTGAGGGGAAATAAATATATAATCTTGAAATTTTATGTCAGATAATGAATATTAATTAAACGTGTTTTGAAATACATATAAAAAACTGCTAGTGAAAGCACACATTTGTCTAATTTAGCCTATAACTTTGACATAGGCTAGCCTTCGTGACAATGAGATACACTAACTAGCCCCGGTCTGTCCTAGATCTTACATTTAATTTACACCATAGCTTTTTTTTATGATTCAGTCTCTCTTTTCTTTATTTGTAGTTTGCAGAAACAACACTTTACTGTTGAGTGTTGTGCACTTAATTAATACACTTTTGATTTGCTGTAGCCTATATAAACGTTAAACATTATTTATAAGGTCAAACGCACCTCAGACAGATCAAAGGAGCATAATGGGCGTCATTTGGCTTGCTTGTCTTTTTAATGGGGTTTTATAAAGGGGCTCATTCAAAAGTCAAAACGGCGTAAAATGCGATTTCACGCCTTTTTAGGTTCATCCTTAAGTGGCCACCAGCTACACGATAACAGCTGTGAGTCAGACGCGCTGAGGTAAACGGACACTTGAGCGTCCCCCGGCAAACGAAGCGGCCGCCACGCGCGCCAGTTTCCGTCCGTCTCGCCGGTTGCTGGGAGCCCAGACAAACTCACGCTCTGTTTGAGCAGAACACAATTACAGACGCGCGCCTAAATATTTGCTCAGAAAACAGACCCCCCACGAGCGATGGGTATAAATGAGCAAACCGCTAATTATCCATAACGCGAAACGGACAGCACGACTTCACGAGCGACATCCATCAAGCATTACACGGTAGGTAAGAGAGACTCACATTTTAACATTTTCTAAAGTAGTACTAAATTCTTTTTCTTTTTCTTTCTTTTTCTTTAATTCTTTCATGCTTACGTGTTTTTTCTGTTAGCTGTATAACAAAGTTGTCACATTTAATCTTACACAAGTTAAATTTTTATTGTCCAACATTTTTACAGAAAACAACAATGATTAAAATTAAAATCATTTAAATTAAAATAATTTAAAAATACATATATGTATTTAAAAATGTGTGAGTGTGTGTGTGTACATATGTTTAATACATTTATTAAACTAAAAAAATACTCTTGTTATAAGAAAACAATACAATTTCTGTATCGACTATACAGTATTACCGAGATATAGCCTTTTTCTTCGTGACAACTGTCCCCAATCTGGTGTATATTTATGTATACATATAATTTTCTTCATAGGATGGCAGCAAGTGTTATCAGGACGCTGAGTAACCTGGGTTTGGCGAAACCCTTCCCTCCCTGCTTCTTTCCGGCTGAGGATGAGGAGGAGACCGAAGAAGAATATGAAGAGGAGCTGAGAGAGGACAGTTTGGAGGAGGACGAGGATGCAGTAGCCAGTGAGTCTCAAGAGGAAGAGCCATGGAGTTTTGATTCGTCCCCCAATAACGCTGAGATGACCAATCAGCTCCTGCGGTTTGCTGAACTCATCAGCAGCGATGTCCAGCGCTACTTCGGCCGAAGCCAAGACCCTGATGCCTGTGACATCTATGCAGAGAGACCGTGTCCAAAAGTCGGGGGCCGCCAGCGGTACTACGCTGACTTCATCAAAGTAGCATCATCAGGGCAGGCGGAGGAGCCTGAGCTGCTCGGGCCCCTTGCAGAGCTCTTTCAAGACGCCCAAAGGAAAGGACGGGGTTTACCCATGAACCAACGTCGCCTGCCAAACAGTTTCTGGACAGAGCCTTTTGCACATCAGCTTGACACGTTGGGTGATGCAAACACACAAGAGAACTCGCTCAGTATGATTAACACATCAGAGGGCTCCAGTCACATCAACACGTCATTGAGTATGTTCAGTAACACGAGCGTTTGCACCATGACCAGCTCCAGTAGCTCAAGCACACCAGACTTCAGTGATTTACTTGCTCACTGGGCCATGGACAGAGAAAATCCCAATGAATTCAACTGTGACTATCCACTTTCATAATCAATCAGCCTGTCTTCTACACTGCAAAATATCATGTTGTTAATTTGTTCTGCTTTTCTTCTTGTTCTTAATGTCTGCCTTGTTTTTCAGTAAAATATCTGCACAAGACAAAAGTGCATTTTATCATGTTCTGTTCTCAGTTGTTTTCATTGTAATATTTTTTATGTTATTTTATTAATTAACTTTAGTTTTTTTTGGCAGTGCATTCAGTATTCAGTTTTTCAATTTAAAATACTACTCCTACAACATTTTGTATCATTCTTACTCTCAAGTTTGTTTTCATGTATAAAAAGACATGAAAAATGTATGCAACAAAGTGCTATTAAAACACCCTGTTTGCGATCAATAACGCTTCTAACTCCTCACACAGAGATGACCAATTACAAGGCAGAAATAAGTAAGAAATTATGTATAATTAGGTCACAATCACAAAATAAATTGCAACAACTGAACCCCAATGTGACCATTTGTGAACCCAATGAAACTTGCAATGAAGGAAATTGCCTACCTGCACTTAGGGTTATTATCGTCAACTAAAACTAAAATCATGAAGGGAAAAACAAATTTATTAAAAACAAAATAACTTTAAAACAAAATAACTATATATATATACAGTATATATATATATATATTATTTTTTTGTGTGTGTGTATATATATATAAAGTACTAAAATAATGAACTAAAACTAATAAATAAAAAGTAATAAAAACTATAGACATTATAAAAAATTATCAATAAAAATCACAAAAATGCACAGAAAATTCTGTAACTTTAACTAAAATTAAAGTGAAAACAGAAAATATTAAAAAATCTTGTGAAATCAGAAAATATTAAATAATCTAAATATTAACAAAAACTATAATAGTATATCAATGATACTTAAAATAACACTGCCTGTAGTAATTTATACGGAATCAAGTATTCCAGAAAGAAGTGGAATAACACTCACATTTATGTTCATTATAGACTTTGAATATAAACAGTAGAACAATGACAGAAAACAGAATGAGAGGCACTTGGTGAACTGGTTTCAACACATTTCCTGTTAATAATGAATGGTAACTGAATCTGCCCTGTCATACTACATGCACAAAACACACTGAACTAGATGTCTATATTTGTCCACATAACCACAGGCCGTTAGGCTGAATAATTCACAGGGAATACAAGTTTTGGTAGCACAGAATCCCACCTCTGTCTATGCAGTGAGTGTGTGGGAAAATGAGTGCATGTCCCTTTCTATAATTTCATAATTTGTTTAAATAGTGCATGTGTGCAGATCTTCATTTCGGTCCTCTGAGTGCTTACGTGTCTGAGCAGGGTGAACTCACTAGTGGCACATGGGCAGAAAGGCCAGATATGGACACGTGGTTTGGTCATGGCTAATTCACACACACACACACACACACACACACACACACACACACACACACACACACACACACACTACTACTTGTTTTTTCAATTATATCTACTGGACACTATTCTAGATAACTGGAAGCAAGCAATAAAGACAGCCACGGTATATTCTCAGGATACTAAGTGATGTGAATTTCCTACGTTATTACATTTGCTTGTAATCTGATGTTAATTTTCCACTCTCCAACGGCTCACTTTCAGAGCTCATGTGAAGTGGCAAGTAAGACCAGTAGATTTGCACCACGCAGGCTTTTCAATGATTCGTCAGCATCAGTGTGCTCTTATCAGCACCACAAGACCACACAGCAGCATGTTACAGCTCATTTCAGCGCTCTTTCTCTGTAGGCCCCTGAACTGATCGATCATGAGGCTTCTACACATCCTGGGTCTCACCCTCTTGCTCTGCGGCCTGTGTGTGAGGGCAGAGGAGGAATCAGCTGAGGAAAAAGTAGAGGAAAAAGTAGAGGACAGCTCTGAAGAAGACACAGAACCAGAGAAACCAGAGAAGACAGAAGAAATTACAGAAGAGAAAGACGTTTTGGTCCTTCATAGCGTCAACTTTGATAGAGCTCTTAGTGAGAACAAATACCTGCTTGTAGAATTTTGTAAGTACTCTATGACTTTCCTTTGAAATATATTATATGACTATAATTATTTTGCTTGCAAATGGTCATTCTGATCTTTGTCTAAATAATGCAAGAAAACACTACACTACAATATCTTTTTACTGCAATGTGTGTTCAAAATGATTTAAATGATCATTTAGAAAGTTTTATATTCAGCTGCACGCATTTAAACTATCCTATAGAAAGCAGCACAAGTTCAAAGATTATTAGCATTTGTTGGACACATCATCCATTAGGAGCGCACCTGTTATTTCTCCCACGCTTGTAAGGAGGGCCAGTTATCCAAATGATACAATTGTGTATTATGCTATTGTCATTGCAGTAAAATGTTAGAACCAAGGTGAAAAAATACTGATATTATTAATGCCAACATTTACACAAATGCATTTTGAAACTTAACTGGCATATAATTCTGAACTGTATGCTCTGAACCTAAAATATAGTGAATAGTTGTAACAAATAGTTGAAATATTTCTTAAACAATTTCAGAGTAAAGTTAGGGATCACAAAGGTTTTTGTATGAAATATTATTATAAATAACTGTTTTGTTTTAATATATTAAAAAAAGCCATTAGTTACCACACTCTTTAGTGTCACATGATCAGTAGAATAATATGCTGAATTCTCTCAACATTTCTTATTAATATCAGTGTTTTTCCGGATCTGTTGAATAGAAAGTTCCAAAGCATTTGAACAATTCATAAAACTATGTGTGACTCAAAACCAGGGCCGGTCCTAGCATTTTGGGGGCCCTAAGCAAGCAGATTATATACGTGTAAACAAATGTTTGAATAAAGATATGGCATATTTAAATATTTAGTGTCATTTGATAAACACCAAAGTGAATAAAAATAATCTTAACGGCTGTTTGAAAACATGTAAATACTGTTTGACTTTGACCTGCATGACAAACAAGCAGGTGTCAGAAGTTGCGCTTGCGCAGCTGCTTTGTGTAGAGGGGTAACCATAGTAACGGCAGTATTTCTGCTGTTCCTAAAGTGCCACCTGCTGTCAGAGAGTGAACTTGCATTTCAATTCAGCACTTCTGCTGCTTTTGTTTAGCTCAATGAGAAAATCTGACTCAACTTTTATGCAGCAAACGCGTAGTGTTGTCAAACTTAACTGGTCGATGGAAAATAAGATAATGTGCGTTCTAAAAATCCAAACCATTGGGATAATAAGATATCTAGAATTATTCGCGTATTTTGAATTGCCCACTGTAACAATACCATTCATGTTCATTACTGTTGTTTCATTCACAGCACGTCTTCAAAGTGCTCGCAGCATGATGCAGCATCCGCCATTTCAACAATATATTTTTTAAATCCCTCACTTACCCATATCTTGATCACTTTCTTTTCTCTTTTCCCACTTCTCTGCAGTCTGCACCAGTTTTATAGTGTCGCCTCTTCATTTTCAAATATTAACACACCCGACTGAAACTTTATCAAAGTGATTATATCGAGCAGCATTACTGTCTGAACCTGACATGGGGCCCCCTGGTGGTCACGGGGCCCTATGCAACCGCTTACATCGCTTATTAGGTCGGGCCGGCACTGCTCAAAACCTTCTAGTTACTGAAATACAGCCTTTGTGACAACATGCTGGTATGACACTTGTTCTTGTCTTTTAAAACATAAAAAGATGCTCCATGGTGTGGTCACTGTCGCAATTTGGAGCCCATTTATGCAGAAGTGGCTGGATTACTGAAAAATGGGTCATCTGAAGTACGACTGGCCAAAGTGGACGCCGACGAAGAGAAAGACCTTGCCACAGAGTTCCACGTGGGCAGTTTTCCCACTCTTAAATTCTTCAAAGACGGCAATAGGCAAAATGCCACCGATTTTTCTGGTAATGCATTTATTTGTTTGGTGCATTTGCATGCATGATGTTATTTTCATACAGTGTGTTCTATAAACACAAGCTCATAGGCATTATTCTGTGATTTGAACAGGAACGCGAACGGTAAAAGGAATCACGAGGTGGCTGGAGAGGCACACGGGGCCCAGCGCTACTGTTCTCAATGATGTGAAGAGTGCAGAGGCTCTGCTGGATGCACATGATGTGGTTGTGGTTGGATTCTTCCAGGTAAATTACCTATTGTTTGCATAAAGTAACTGACTTTTTCAGATATGACATTGCCTTATAGCCAAAGAGTTCTAGTAAAACATATCATTGCACTCTCTATTTATAACAAAAGATTTATCATTGAAAAGTTATTATTTTAATTTATTGAAATTTGTCCCAGGATTTGGAAGGAGTTAAGGCAAAGACATTTTATGATGTAACTTTAATAGCAGTGGACTTTGACTTCGGCATCACAAGCAACCCAGAGCTCTTCAAGAAGTACGATGTAAAAAGCGACTCGTTGGTGCTTTTCAAGAAGGTAATTCCAGTATATATAAATCGAATATATTCGTTGTCTATTTACATCGCAAATAGTGAGTCACTGAATCATTCGTTCAACTGATTCGCGACTGAAAGAACTCTTGCTATTCTCTGTTTAAATTTAAGTTATTATTAAACTACTTGAAAGAGACTTTCAGGAAGATTTAGTTTTTAAATCAATAACATCCTTACCTCATTTTAAATGTGTACGGTCATTTTCCACAATCCCCTTTCTCTTCTTAATGTAAACAAGATAGATCTACTACATGATGAATTGAGGACAACACCTACAGTCTAGTTCAGTAACATAACGCTGACTCGCTCAGCAAACGGGCTGTGTTCAGTCAGTTCAGTCAACCAAAAAAATGCGTGTTCTCTTCCCGCACTCGATAGCCATTGGTTTATGCTATCGTCAGTCTTAGTTTGAGGACAGTGAAAGCCATACGCTTAAAAGACTTAGGTAAACAAAATATCCAGTGTGTGCCTGAAATGGAATATTCATTCACTTTGAAGATTAATTTAAAATCATTTGTTCACACCCCAAAAATCCCTACTTTCTTGTTTAAAAAAAGTAAATAAA